CGCTTCCCTGGGAAGCGCAAGGTCCTGAGTTTCATTCCTGGTACCGGCGAAAAACCAAAAAAATAAAAAACAAATAAATAAAGCTGGATGCTTTCCCTCCACACTCTTTAATTGGCTCCAAAATTCTAGAACACTTGAGCATTAAGTCTAAAAACAAAACTGTGTTGCTTCATTCGGAGAAAAAAAAAAAAAAAAAAAAAAAAAAAAGGGAAAAAAAAAAAAAAAAAACAACAACAAAAAGTGTACATCTGCGGCAGGCGGGGTAATCCCAGCCCCTGGGAGGCAGACAGGCGGATGGAGTTTGTGTCCAGTCTGGACAACCAAGTGAGACGTTGTCCCAAACACGAACAAAAACACGCCCAGACCCCTGTGCCCACCCAACCCGCAAGGGACCGGCGGGCGGGCGGGCGGGGCGCGGTACCTGAGTGGGCGTGGACTCGGCCGCCTGGATCTGGAAGTTCTGCGACGGCTTCTGCGGGACGGTGGGCAGCGTGGCGGAGGCGGCCTGCACCACGCGCAGCGCCTGCTGCGGGATCTGCACCACCTGCTGCGGCTCGGCCTTGGGCGGCACCACCTGCACCTGCTGCACCACGGCGGGCTGGCCGCCGCCCGGGCTCTGCACGATGAGCAGGTTGTTGCCCGCCTGGATGATGTTGTCCGCCGTGGTCTCGATCAGCACCGTCTCCACCTGCTCGGCCACGGCCACGGGCGGCGGCGGCTGCGCGGGCAGCCCCTTCTTCCGGGCCTTCTTCGTGGTCTTGGCCAGCGGGGTGGGGGGGCTCTCGGCGAGGAGCTGCGCGGGGGTCCCCGGGTCGCCCGCGGCGGCGTTCACCAGGTTGTTGACCGGCAGCGTGAGCGTCACGTTGCCGCCCCCGCCCGTCAGCTTCACCACGCTGCTCCCGCTCTGCGCGGGGGCCGCGCTCGGCTTCTGGACCGGGGCCGGCTTGATGGGGACGGGCTTGTGGCCGGACGGCGAGGGCGCGATGATGGCCTGGCTGGCGCCCGGGATGATCTGGATCTGGTTGGCGAGGCCGGGCTGCACCTGGATGGTCTGGGTGCCGCCCGCCTGCAGCTGCGGGACGGCCTGGTACTGGATGCTGGCGCCCGAGCGGGCGCCCTTGCTGACCATGGCGGGGTTCTGGATGGCGAACACCAGCTGGCCGCCCGCGTAGGAGGTGCTGAGCTGCGAGCCCTGGATCTGGAGGATGTTGCCCTTGGGGGACAGGATGCCGAAGCTGTTCTTACCGGGGCTAAGAGGGAGAGGGGCGGGCTTGATGGGGACCAGCTTCCGGGGCGTGGGCTGGGGCGGCGCCGGAGGGGCCACGGCGGCTTCCACGGCGGGGGGGCCAATTTTGCTACATGTTGCAGCCAGCAAGGCCAAGGGCGAGGGCTGGGAGTCCTGCAAAACAAGCGAGGGCGGGCTGAGCCTCGAGTCCCGGCGGCGCCCCGTCCTCCCGGGCTGTGCTGCCGGCCTGTGGTCCAGCCACGGTGGGCGGCTGCCCGGGCTCCGCAGGGTAGGCGCCAGCAGGGGAGACTGCTGTAGGTGCTGCCCGGGCCCGGTCTGTGTGGCTCCGCCCACCCGAGGGCTGCTGTACCCACACTGCCGTGGGAGGGGCCCGCCTGCCATCCCAGCACCCTGAGGTGGGAGGATGAAAGTTTGAGCCCGGTTTAGGAAACACAGTGACTCAGCGGAAAAAGCTGTCTGATAATTTTGTGTGTGTGTGTGTGTGTGTGTGTGTGTGTGTGTGTGTGAGACAAGGTCTCAATATGTAGTTTAGGCTGGTCTTGAACTTGCTGTGTAGCCCAGGCTGGCCTCAAACTCACAGCAATCCTCCTGCCTCAGCTTCCCTAGTGTTGGGGTTACTGGTGTGCACCACCACACCCAGCCTCAAAATAAATTTTTATTTTTCTTTCTGTCTCTCTCTTTTTTCTTTCTTTCTGGTCTTTTTGAGACAGGGTCTCGCTATGCAATTCATTTTGGCCTTGAGCTCACTTTGTAGCCCAGGCTGGCCTCGAACTCAAAACCATCCTCCTGCCTCAGCCTCTCCAGTGCTGGGATGACAGGCGTGTGCCACCACACCCGGCCCTCAAAATAAATTTTAAAAGAGCTGGCAGTGCAGCTCAGTGCTAAGGCCCTGGGTTGAACCCCCAGCACCGGTGAAAACAACAAACTCAGCTAGGGGCCTCTGTGTCCCTCTTGGGGGCGGCAGGCACACTGGAGGAGCCACGCTGACCCGACCTTCTGCGCCGCCACACTGGGACCACTGCAGGTGACGGCACGGGCTCTCAGGTCAGGCCTGGCCACGGGCCTTCCAGCTCCTGCTCTGAGAGTCCAGGGCGCGAAGGTGCGGGGCGGCAGTACTCACCTGCGAGGCGGCGACAGCCGGCTGCAGGTAGTCGCTGGGACTGACAGCGGCGGTGGCAGCCATGCTCGACTGTGGGTCTGTGGAAGAGGGGAGCGTGTGACACACAAGACACCGATGAGGAGAAGCCCCGGCCTCGGCCTTCCCGCCCTCCCCGCCGCTCCAGGAGGGTCCCTCGCTGGGACGGCTGCCCACACACGCAAGGCCTGGCTCTGTGCCCTGGCCACATGGCCAGGGCTGTGGCACCCGCTGCTGGGCCCCGGCCTGCCCTCACTGCACTGGAACCCACTCTGGTGCAGGGGCGCCCCCAGCAGGTAAATCTCCTCTAAGGCAGCTTCCTGCCAAACCACCCTAGAAGGCCAGCCCAGGGTTCAGGACTAGGACCCCTCTTTCCTCTCCTAAGGCTCAGGATAAAGGAGTCCTTAAAAAAAAAACAGAAACAACAAGGCCTCACTGTGTAGTCCAGGCTGGTCTTAAACTCACTATGTTGCCTAGGCTGGCTTTGAACAAACTGTGATCCTCCTGCCTCAGCCTCCTGAGTGCTGGGATTACTGGTGTGCACCTCCACACCCGGTAGGGGTACTTTAAGTACACAGAATTTACACTTTTACACAGAGCAATAGGTAGGGCCCATAAGGATCACCAAGACTGGGTCGGCTAATGACTGGATACAAGGAGAAGAATGAAAATATGGGAAACTATTTTGTCTGAATGTGTAGACATTTCTACATATGAATACAGCTAAATATGAAAATACTTTTTCCAAAAAGCTAGGTGTTAAAAGCTGTTACCTCCTGGAGGCAGAATTTTGCTTGACAAAGAATTGTGGTCCTTGTTTGTCTATCTGCTCATAACGGGGAGCCAGCCCGCTGTGTTCCTGGGTTCCACAACACAGATCTGACCAATCGCAGATGGAGAACAGTCAGAAAAATGACCGTGCCTGTCCTGTCCTGACAAGTACAGACTCCACTGTCACCACCCCTGGACACACAGCAGAACCATGTACAAAGCACCTACCCTGTTTCAGGTACTGTGATTAGTCTAGAGATTGAAATACACAGGAGAAGCCTGGTGTGGTACTGCATGCCTGTCATTCCGGCACTCAGGAGGCTGAGGCAGGAGGACCACTTGGAGTTCAAGGCCAGCTGGGGCTACATGCGAGACCCTGTCTCAAAACAAACCAAACCAAAAGAAACCAGTTCTGTCTGTCTGTCTATCTATGTCTGCATGCTGTGGCATTTTCCGTAAGGGACCTCTGCCTCGTAGGCTTTGGCGCCTGCCAGGGCCTGGGGAGCCAGCGCTGGTAAACACTGGGGGCAGCTGAACCCTATTGCACTCTCAAGTAAAGAAAAAGAAAGAGGCCGAAGAAATAAAAACGGGGATCTGTGCACTGCGAGGCTGATTTAAAAGGGAAAACAGGCAAAAGGGAAGCTGGGAGAATGGAGTGCAGGAACTCCATTTTCGAGTTCTGCATCCCAGAGCTCGGGGGAGCGGGCGCAGGACGTGCGGCGCTGCCGGGCGGGGTGCAGCCGCACCCCGGTGTCTCTGCTCCTCTACCTGGGAGAGTGGTCCTGAGATGGGAAAGGGGCAGAGACAGGAGGGTCAGACGCCCAGCGCTCCCGCGGCCGCCAAGCCCCAAGTCCACGCTGCGGAGGGGTCTTTCCGTCACTGCCCACCACCAGGGGGCGCGGAGCCTGACACCGCCCGCACCCCATCCTTGGAAATCCTACAGCAAAGAACGCAAAGGTGCTGCAGTGACCGAGGAGAGAGAGGGGACCACGAGGAGCTGGTGCCGAGCTGCAGGAGCCACATCCGAGTTCACACGGCTCAGGACAGACACTGGAGGACTTGTGCACCGGGCAGTTATTCCAGCCAGCGTCAGTGAGATTCTCAGGAGCAGGAGTTGAGCCCAGGAGCACTCTTAACACCGAGCTACATTCACAGCCTCTTTTTGATTATCACTTTATTTTGAGACAAGGTCTCACTAAGATGCCCAGGTTGGCCTTGAACTTCCAATCCTAGTGCCCCAGCCTCCCAAGTAGCCGGAATTACAGGCGAATGCCTCCCCCAAGTCCCAGGGACTGGCTGTCACAAGATCTACCATCAGATGCCTTTTTCGTTCTTGTTTTTTGAGATAGAGCATCTCTGTTTAGTTCAGGCTCGCCTTGAACTCTCTATGTAACCGAACTCGCAGTTCTCCTCCTGCCTCAGCCTCCTGAGGGCTGGGATTACAAGTGTGCACCACCACACCCAGCACGACTGTCTAAAAAATAAGCCCCGAGCACAGATCACCGCCGATACCCCGCACGTTTCAGCCTGTGTGCACCGCTGCCGTGTATCAGGGTGGCTCAGCTGCACGTTCACCGCACGCCCTGTCCATGCGCTGCAAGGGGCCGGGCAGGAGGCAGCGTCAGCCTGCACTGGTGCAGGCAGCAGAGCCGTGCAGGGCTGAGCTAGGGACCGGGGACCCCGCTGGCAGCCTGTGCCAGGCGAGCTGGAAGGCGTGAGCGCTGCTGCCACGCATCCTCCTCCCAGGAAGACTTGGAATTGGACTGTATGGGCTTTTTTGTAGTCAACTTTACCGAAGCGAGGTCAATAAAGCAACATACAGGTTTATTATATGGATATAAAATTAAACTGTATGAGTATAATGGAAATACCTGAAGTCAGCTCCAAATCATGCATTTTTTCCTTTACAGCGGTGGCATGCAAACGGTACAGCATGAATCATAGTTATAAAAATGGTTTACTTTGGGTTGGGGCAAAGCTCAGTGGTAGAAGGATTGCCTAGCGTGGCTGTGGTCCTGGGCTCACCACCAGCACCACACAAAAAAAAAAAAAAAAAAAAAAATTACCTCATGAGCCAGCATCGCCCCCCACACACACACAGAGGAGACTTTCCTGTCTTGTGCTATGGCAGTAAAAGCTCCCCGAAACAAAATCTGTCCTTACACATATGATACGATTTTGCTATCTTTCTACTCTATTAGTTTTTTTAAAATGCTGACTGTGACCTATTAAACTGGTTTTGTACATTACTGGCTAAAAAACCCCTGTGTGTCTGTCTCTGTCTCCCTCCCATCATCCCTCTTTCCCTCTCTGAGACAGTGTCTAGCTATAGCCCAGGCTGGCCTTGGACTCTTTAGCCTCCTGACTCAGCCTCCTAAGTTCTGTGATTACAGGGTGCACCATTACACTCAGCTGAAAGCATGACTTTAGGATAGTCTACTGGAAGACTAGAAGGCAGATTAAACGTGCAGATGTCACAAAACTAAGGATTGTAAACACAATGGGTGTCATGTTAAGAGTTCAAAGAAATCTTTAAAAAACTGCTAGGATGGCTGGGTGTGGCAACATGTGCCTGTAAGCCCAGCACTAGGGAGGCTGAGGCAGGAAGATTGAAGGGCAGGCTGGGCTACACAGAGTTCAAGCTGGATAAACACTGCAAGACTTCATCTCAGAAAAACAAAACCAAACAAGTAAAATACAGTACTGATAGGTTAGCCAGGTATCGTGGCACAGATCTGTAACCCCAGTGATTTGGGAGGCTGAGGCAGGAGGACTGCAAACTCAAGGGCAGCCTGGGTAACTTAGCAAGACCTTGTCTCAAAACAAAACCCAAACTGGTGGGCACAGTGTGAAGAACCCAGGCTGCAGCCCTAGGCAGGGACCCCCTCCACCTGCCCGAAGGGTGTGTGAAGGTTTCTGAGGTGGTCGAGCACCTCACATGACAGTGAGGACAGCAGTCCTGGCATTCAGCGGTGGTTGGGTTCATGCCCTGCTTGGGGTAAAAGCAAGTCATGTGTGTACAGGACAGGATGACAGGGACTGAGTGAAAACTCCAGCTCTGCCGCAAGGCTGAACGGGAACCAGCAGAATCTACATGCGATTGCTGGAAAAAAGCCACTGCCATCTTGGGCTGGTTTCCAAACATCCAATCACAGGACAAGAAAAACAGTCCCGGGCCTCCTGCACTCACTCGCCCACAGGGACAGGGGGTTCCATTTCCAGGGACCTTGGAGAGGGCAGTGTTCAGCTGAGAGGGAGGAGCAGCTCGGGGCTAAAACCTGAGCGCTCACTCCACACTCGTCTCGGAGGGTGGAGCAAGACCTCTGGGCAGGCATTTTAAAAAGCCAGATTTCAATTCAATACAAGAGAGAACTTTCAAACCAGGAGTGGTGACATCCCCCTGTCCTCTTGTGAGGCTGAGGCAGGACGATGCCAAATCTGAGCCCAGCCTGGACAATTTAGTGAAATCTTGTCTCAAGATTTTATTTATTTATTTATGTATGTATGTATGTCTCAAGATTTTAAAAAGGGGTTGGGGTATAGCCTCAGTATGAAGTCCCTGGGTGCAATCCCTCACACCAAAACCAAAAAACAGAGCAAGAACTTTTAAAAGATGGAATTGGTTGCCTTGGGGTAATGCCCTCCTTCCTCTGGAACCATTTAACCAAAGCCAGGACACGCGTGTCAGATACGCGACATGGAGCGCACGTGAAAGCTGGATCTCTGGGTCTCGTGATCGTTCCTCTTTATGCTTTGCAGGGCTGGGGGCTTCGGCCCAGGGCAGAGCCCTTCCCTGGCTCCTGCGAGGCCTTAGGTTCAAAGTCCAGTGGTACGAAAAGAGAAAGGCATTTCTGCTTTCCAGACTGTGCTACTGCTGAAAACACAAGACCAGCGAGTGGCTGGCAGGGCTGGGGACCTCCCAGGAGGCTTCCAGCTCGAGTTCACTTCGCTGAAATTGGTGAGCGGCGCGACCTCCAACAGAGACATTGTCCATCAGGAACCAGGACAGAGCGCAAATGAAGATCACCTCCCGTGGCCCCGCTGTCACCGGCACCCTGGACGACTCGGCCGTGCTCAGAAGTTGCAGCACGTGCTACTGAGGCACGCACGCCTCTGCAGGCCAGGCCGGCCTCATTTCCCTTCCCAGCCCGCTCCTGAAACATCCCTCCGGGTCTCAAACCTATGTCGGTGTCTCCTCTCCCTGCTCAGAGCTTTACGGCCTGAGTGATCACAGCGGGGAGCCAGAGTCTCCCCGGCCTGGGACCCACCCGAGATGGGGTTAGGCTGAGTA